ATAATGTTTACGTAATTTTTATTCAGAGTCACGTGATCAATTGACGCCTCTTTTCGACTAGGCTCTCTAGATTGAACGGATGAACACGCTCTCCCCCCTCCCCCCTCGCCTCTCCCTCCTCCCCTTCTTTTTAATAGAACAAATTTAAGGAATAAATAAAATTAAGTAAGTAGAACCGAAAAGAGAACTGTTAAAAAACCGTAATTTTTACAGTTTCGGTTTTCTTTACTGGTAAAAAAAAAACCGAAACTGAAACCGGAATATTTATTTGATATTTTATTAAACCGGAACCGGAACCGAATCGAGAAAACCTTTCCGGGTCCCTGATACAAACTAACAGTAACATAACATCGCAGTGTTACAATTTTCCACACAACAATATAAATGTAATATAAGGCATTATACGTTATGTTGTTGAGTAGAAAATTATAACATTGATGTAACGTTACTGTTAATTTGTATTCTGTGGGTATTAAGTTTTAGAATTGCATAATATTGGATGTGTTGATTGGGACGGAGACTGGATATATCAAGGAGGATCTTTCATCTCTCTGTGCGTACATCTTCCGGAGTCCCAGGTGAAAAGAGAACCTCAGGTAAATTAGTTGAACATGATTGATTATTATTCATCGTCGAAACATTGCACGTACTTTGCAATTTACAATACAATACCTATAATACAAAATACTAATAGTAATTGCTTGATAATAATATTAATGATAGTGATAACTGAAATATGAAGATGGAGGACAGGAGGAAGAGGATGAGTAGGGGAGCGAGATTAAACGTAAGAATGCTAGACGATAATAAAGAGTGGGTCCAAAAATTCAGTCGGTCGCAGTACGATTATCGAGCTACGGCTCTCGATGGCTCTCCTTGGCACTTGCCGTTCTCACGTCAGAGTGTGGTGTACAGAGTGTCACGAGAAGTGCACGTACGAATATATTCCTTCGTAAAATGTTCGCCGATCCTTTCTTACCGAAAGTTTCGTCAGGGATATTAAACAGTGGATATAACAAACATTTGGAGTATCATCGAGCGGATCGAGCACAAATGATACAAAACCAATATATCGATTGTTTATATTCATTTGCATTTACTCGTTCGCGATTTTACTACTTAGCATTGAATACTTACTTATTAAAATTTCCCGCGGGCAAGTAATAAAATCTTTTTCCTTTTTCGAGACACTCTGTATCGCACATGTTGCGTTCCCCACGAGACGCGAATTAATCGATAACGGGAATTGAACCCGAGTATGAGAGAGAGAGAGAGACAGAGAGCTCCCCAGAAGGAATTAACTAATCCGATAGAACCATTAAAAATCGCCAAGTTTCACGTTGCGGCGTGTTTTAGTCCTCACGTTGAGATCGCAATCTTGCGAACCGGTGATTTTAACGGTATTTTCACAACATCCGAGACATCGCGTCTCGAATTTTCCGTGGCCGATTAGTCCTCGTCACATGTAGGGAACAGCCCTGTGTTGCGCGTCGTGTGTGTGTGTATATATATATACATATACTATACATATATAAATACTTTACTGGTAGGTTTTAACAAGGAAGATATCATCCACGTGCGCGTACAGCAGTGATCCTCGGATCCCGATTCTTCGCGTGTGCCTCAGGGATCATGATCGATCACGCGTAACGACGCGGAAGAAAAAACGAAGGGAACAGGGAGGTGGAGGGAACAACTAGATTACAAAGTGTGTCCTCTTACGCGTCATCGTGTGTTAACGCAATTCGTTAACTCTCTCGCGTAAATTTTGATATATAAGACTACTATATTACTTTTGGCAGGAATGTCGTAATTATATATATAATATATATATATAATCTCGGCCGCAAACCGTGCTCGGCGCTCAGCGTATCTCCTGGTCCACGTAGCTGACGTGCACGCACTCCGTACGGGACGCCACGTGGCCGCACGCGCCACGTGCACGGCAAAGAAAAATAAAGCCTCGTCTCTCAGCCGATCTCTCTCCGTTTGCTGCATTGTACGAGCCGTCGTGATGCACGCGTGTCATATATTGTTTTTCGCTGACCTGCAAGAGTTTAGGAAATAATCTCGCAAATAATACGCGATTCCGCACAGCGTATACATCTAGTGAACATCATCGGATGTGTATTATCGGATACAGAATAGTTTCGCGCGTATTCATTAAAGTATCCAAATATCTTATGATATTCCGATTTGTGGATATTAAGTATAATACCGTCTTTCTATATTCTTAACTAAATATTATTTTATAATATTCAAATTAAATCTTGAAAAAATCATTTTTAGAAAAGAAAATTAAAAGGATAAATATGTAAGATATGATGCGCAAACGGCGCTCTCTCTCTCTCTAGATGAATTATAATTATTTTAATAATTTCGTATCTTTCTCTGAAAAATAATATCTTAATATAAAAATATACAAACATCAAAATATCTCGCGGATCATTTGTACATATAATATGAAAGAACGTTCAAGAATATACTTGATATTTACGCTGTGCTGAATCTTGCTGCTTGTATAAAAAAAAAAACGACGACGATGAAGTATATCGAAGGAACATTTAAAAATGTATGATTGACTCGGCCTCTCCCACATCTTAAAAACCACACGGCGACTCACGCGCGCTCGCACTTGTGCTGCACAAAATGCGATTTTTGCTTTTGCCCAGCGTTCGCGAAGGCGTAGAAACGATAATCAAGAAGGTTCAGTGTGTATACATATGTGTGTGTGTGTGTGTGTGTGTGTAAATATTTGCAATTAATTTGCAAGAAGATTTTGGACCGCGCGCTTGTGCGAAGAGAATCCAATCCAATCGTTAAAGAGCTTCATCAATTTCATGCTTGCGAAAGATATCTCGCCCGCACGATTTTGATTTGCATTCATATTTGACAGTGATGTATGAACAAAAAGTTTTCCGGCTCAAGGAAGCTTTTCACATGGATGGAAGGAGTACGACTTACTTTACACAAGCTGGAGTAATGATGGTGCATTATAACGAAGTATAGTGCTGCACATCCTTTTGTCACGCGGCTACGCTTTCTCGAAGGATTCCTCAGTGGAGCGTTATAGTCGCCGTATAATTATAATAACAATGTTCTAACAATAATATTAATATAATAATAAAATTATAATACTAATATTAATAATATTTGCAATTATAAACTAGGAAGAATCTCTAATGACTTCGCGAGTAGAGCTTTGTGATTAGGCGTTTGAGCAGTGTCTAGACACGAGAGAAACTAAAAAACCGCGCTTGTTCGATTAACAACTAATCAGTTACGTGATTTTCGCGTCATCGTCACTGAAATCGTCACCGTCGATGCTTCGTCGGATTAGAGGGGGATCGAGAGTAAGTGAGACTGCTGTAGTGCTTTTGCTTAAAATTGGTTTAGAAGCGGCGATTTGCAAAAATTGTCTCAACAGTTTCATGTTCTCGGAGCGAAGAGTGTCGTGTCGTGTCGTGTAAAAGTATTAAAACACCTCGTAGTTCGATAGAAACATGAAAAACAAACCGATATGCATTGCACATTCACAACTCACGCACGCGTACACGCATCAAATGCATTTCCTTCCTTTCTATCTCCATCTCAACTGTTCGTCTTCTTACGCCAGAGTGTGTATATCCGCTCTTTTTCGTGCCCTTAGGCCGCTCACGTTCTCTCTACGACGCAGCGAATCGGTTTGCGGATCTGTCGACTCACTCACGGACAGGCTGGTGATGGATAAATTTATAATCGACCATGTGCTCGTGTGTGACAAACCAATCCTCTATTGTAGTGCAATCGAACGTACGCTCACACTCGTAAACTTACTTGGTAAAAACACGCTCAATTATTTTCTCGGTATACTTCCTACGACTCCTAGACGCTCGATTAGAATACGATTTACTCTTGGAAAAAAGTCCAAGCGATCGCGCTTTATATACGCTCGCGCGGATCGTCGCGGTTTAGTCTAAATTTAGTGCGCCCGTTGCGCGGTGATCACTACCGAAAAGGCGGAGAGCCTCTAAATATATTGACTTCGAAATCGCGATGTATGTGTTAAAAATTTTCTTCTGCTCGCCCATCAGGAAGTAATATACGAATAAATCATTCATCCTACGATTTGTGGTTTTCTCTCTACGGTAATCGACCGCCCGACGCTTTCACCTGATTCCCGGTAACCTTGGGAATCGCGCCGATTATCTTGACACGATTCTGCGCCATTGTCTGCTGCTGCTGTTGTGTTTGCTGTTTGTTGTCGCAGAACTGCGGCGGAGGTGCGAACACCACCACTTCCTGGTCTTGGCCGCCGGCAGACGGACCGGCGTTGAATTCCGGCGGCGGCGGTACGAAGAGATCATTGTTCTGCTCTTCGGCATCAGCTTCGATCGGAGGCGGTAACTGCGCCAGGCTGACTGCGTGCCTGGTCAGCAAACCACTGCCGCCATAGCCTGGTCGTTTGGTCTGATTGCTCTCCTTTTCGATCGGATTGGCGCCGGTTAGCAGAGTGCCTCCCGGCATCGAGTGCTGGTTGCTCTCTTGATTAGCCAGATTCCGTGCAGCGGTGTCGTCGAAGCCCATCGGTGGACCCACCGGCACATCTTGGTCTGAGCTGACGCCGCTCGAGCTGTTGTCGCCGTCCTCGACGAGCGATTGCTGCGTTTGCTGCAAGAGAAAATCGTTCGGATGACTCTTGGATGACTTTAACTGCGTGCGCACTTTCTGAATCTCCTCGACACTAAACGAATGTGGTAGCGAACCGCTGCCCGATGAACTCGAGCCAGATGTGTTGGAGTTGCCCGACGTTTCTCGCGTTGCTTCCAGCTTCTCTCGCGCCGCCGCCTTCTCTAGCTCCTTCGCAATCTCTGATTCGCCATCTTCATCCGTTTCGTCCTCGCCTTCATCGTTTTCCGACTCCGACAGACTGTAATCTGGCTCGGGGATTGGCGGCGCCGAGGTAGGTGGTGTGGGTCCATTCGCGCCGGACGCGATCGACGAAAGGTTTGTGACGGACGAGCTGGTGCTCACGACAGTCTTCTTCTTTCGCTCACGAATACCAGCCGTGCTGTGACTCCTGGTGGTCTTCAATGGTTGCGCGTACTGATTGTTGACCGAATTATTACTGTTTCCGTTACTGTTCATATTGATATTGGTATTCAGTGCTTGTTGGCTGCCAGTCGACTTGAATGTCGTGCTGCTCGGTGTGCCGCGTAGACTGTGAGACTTCCTCAGATGTGGACGATTAGCCGGTAGACTACGCGAGCGATATCCAACAGTCTTCATATCTTCCGGCGAGGCGTACAGCTTTGCGCTATTCGACGGCCGAAAACTCGACATCACTCCATAAATACCATCGACTGTAGCTGCTGCGAGTTCTGCGTGTAATAAATATAACAATATTTATCTCATGGTGCAACAAAATATTGAAAGAATGAAAATATTATACTGTATTAAAGATATACTTATTTTGATCAAAACCTAGAATAAATTATTTTAATATGAAGGGGAATTCTAAAATAAAGTTGGCAAAAAAAATGATCATTACCTTTGACTTGTTGGATGTGCGCCATATTATCATAAACCGAGGCTGGCGTAACGACGTCTGGCACGTTTGCGCCAACATTTACCTTGATGACTTGTCCAACCGGCGGAGGTGGCGGCGGATGATTCGGAGGTGGAAGCCCATTTCTACCGTTTAGAGCATTTACGTCTTCCTGACTTCTATGACACTTGGGCGCTAGAAGGGACGACGACTGCGCTTGCACGTTGAGATCCGGTGTGCTATGGAAGTCCCTGTGAAGATCGGAACCGCCGCCCAAGCCACCAAAGAAGCGTACTCTTGATTGCGACTGCAAACGTAAGAACAAGAGGCTCGTACGGACTTGCAAATGCCGACGTTGTCGTCTTGCTAACTTTGAAAAACTTGGAGCGTGAAGAATATACAAAATTGCAATTTAAAATTTCGTGAAGGGACGAGGAATAGAGTGAAACAAACAGTAAAAGGACGTTGGAGAAATGTGATACAAGGGTAGAAGCATATTTCTGCTAAGCGTGAACTCCAAGCTACCGTGATCAACTACTATTACTGTCTCAGCAAAATGTCATTTAAGTGTTAATATTGTTGAATACTGCGAAGAACGTAGTTACGTATTATTAGCCTTCCATGCTTATAGAACCAATCCTGAAAAGCGACTTAAAAAACTGAGCAAAATCGCTTAACTTGGTTAAATGCAAATGCGGCAATTAGTTAATCATACTTGAGGCGTGAACACGAAGCTGAACGGTGGCACCTAACGCCCTCGCGGACGTCAGATTTCTTTTCATTTAGCAAATGGCTTAGTCACCTGAAATCATGCAAGCCATGGACGAGCTAGAAACAAAGTATTTTCGATCAGTAATATAAGTAGTAGTCCTCGTCATCTCGCCCGCACCAGGACCGTCCTTTGCTGTGCGCTCGCACCGGTTTACGCGCAAACTATAACACACGTGCAAAAGAAAACAGCCACCATTACCATTGCCCAAAGAGAGGAGCGTTCACCGAACGCCGAACGACGCTTTCGACTTTTGGACTTTGACGACTCTGGTAGACTTTTCTTACGGGGTAATCTCCTTAACCGTCGAGTCGTTGCGTCAACGAATTACTATCGATGGGTATGATACGAGGAAAATAAGTAGTGAGAAAGAAACGTGTCTATTAGATTCTATGGGATGATTAAAAATATAAGTTGTCTAAAGGGATGTCGAAGAGTTCGATCAAACTACTAATGGATGAGATGAACAAACAAACAAACAAACAAATAAACAAGTTAATAGCTATTATCTAGGGCAGCTTTCATCGAAGGGCTATTACTGTTAACCATAGGGTTAATGTTAAAAAGAAAAACGCGAACGAGAGGGCGAGTGCGAGCTCGTAACTGAGTGGCAGGTCATCCTTACTTTGCCCTTGCGCTTCATCTCCGCCACGCTCGCGTACACCCTGCCGGTCTTGGCGGGCGACGACGGATGCGACTTGGTGGACTGACCAGTAGTAGTCTGAAAGTGAGAGGAGCTCATCATGGACGAACTGTATTGACCACCGGCGCTACCCTGCTGTCGCTGAAATAGTTCCTGGAAGAGAAATTAAAGGACGAAGCTGAAGCCTCGGTCTCGTCTCGTGCATACAATGCCATTCAATTCGAGGACAACGAGCGCACGGATAGATTCTGTGATCGAGCGAAAGAAAATGAGAGGGAGCATGTTCGACGCGCGTGCCGCAAGCGGATGATAAATAATTACTTCAAGTTCCGCGGCAGTGATTCTGCTGGAGGTCGGACGCGATCGGATGCTGGCTGTTCTCGGTTGTACTGGTGTGTTCTGACCGGTGTTCGATCCAGTTGATGGCTGCTGCGGCATGTGAATCGATTCCGCACTACTTGACTTTGCACCAGTCGATGCTATCTCGTCGCGATCGTCCCTTTCGCCTCCTCCTTCTACGAGAGACACATCACAAACACGGAACCATTAAAATATATAACACGAATGTCTCACAATGCCTACTGTACACCAGATTCGGTCTATTACCTAATCCTGCGACCATTGATCGCGCTCTCGCTCGTCCCACGCTTAGCGTTGTCTTCGGATCTCTTCGAGGCGGTACAGGAGCTGGAGACCTGCCAAGCGTACCGCCGATCACCACGTTGTTATTACCCTTGCGCGGCAAGGTAGCATATTGTCTCTGAATCGGTTGACTAGTTGGCAATGCGGCCGCCGACTGGGAATTCGGAAGACTGATCACCGGCGAGACCACGGTCATTCGCACCAACTCTCCCGATTTCCTTATCAGATCGACCACGTGTTCGTGCGAAGCCGTCGTTACGTCCTCGCCATTGATCTTGAGTATTCGTAAGAAAAAAGTGTAATATAATTTAAAGCATATACAATTATGAAATTCTATATACTACAATTTTTAGAAATAAAAGTAATTTTTATCGTATATTTAGCAGTAAATTAATATCTATAAACTTACTTGAATGAGAAAATCTCCTTTTCGGAGACCTGCTAAGTCAGCCACACCTCCTTGATCGACATCATCCAGATATTGTAATGCTGGATATTTGGCTGACGGCGTGAGTTCCATTAGTGGCGAAGTAGCCTTGGCGCCACGTAACACGAAGCCGAAGCCTTTCCTCGAACGATGAAGAACAACAGTGCGAGGCTCCGACGTGACACTGAGAGTTCAAAGTCATTATTGTATCCTTCATTAAGAACGAGTTAAAAATGATTGAGCGTGGAACTTACGGTTTCTTTAATCTAGGTGCGGTAGCGAAGTACTTGTGTTGCGATTCTCTACGGCCCAGAACTCGATTTCGTCCGTCCCTGGCGGGTTGTGGACCCAGAGGTATATTCGTGTGGCGCAGCCGGACTTCTTGAACGCAATGCGCAGGGAATAAACCGGTACCCTGTCCGCGTAAGACCCCCTCCAGGAGGCCGCAGTCGGTCGCACCGGTGACTGTTAAAAATAAAGAAACAAAAACACGCTTGCAATCAAAAAAATATTTCTGGTCGTTACCTATAAAACAGAAATCGAGAGAGACAGAGTGAGACGGCTGTCGTCCCAATTATACGGAACATGGTGTTAATGATGGTGTTAATGTCGATCAAATGGGGAAAACGGAATATCATGGAACATCGAACGAGCAACATTATGTCGTCGTCGATTACGACGTCGAAGTCAACTACGACGAGAGGAGTACATTTTGTTGGATTTGCCTGGTGGTGTACCTTCAAGGATGTCTCCTTGATTGATAGTCAGATGGCTGGTGATCCCGCTGCTGTAGTTCTCCACGCAGACCACCGTCGTGCCGGGAATGGATAATGAATTGGTCGTGTCGGACTGCGAGGTTCCCACCCCGGAACTGTCGCTGATCACGTCAGACGCCGTGTCGCCGAGGCTCTTGTCTAGAAAATCGACAACGATCGGATATACTCAGCGTGATGTCTCGTGCTTCGCATCGCTTTACCGAGCGATAAACGCCATGCAAGAAATCGAAATCCTTAAGAGAGACAGAGAAAGAAAGAGAGAAAGAGAGGAAAAGAAAAAACGGCTAACTCTTGTAACGCTAAATCAAAACTTCAGCGCACTCGACCTCAGAAAAATCAACTCAATTCGATTCGCCTATAGATTGTGCTCTACGACGGCAAAGAGCTCTAGAAATCGCCAGTCGCGTCACATTCATCACATCCTAAAATGCGGTCGCTAATGAAAATAAGCGCAACGTGTCTCTCCACGAGCGAGACCTCGCCGAGCTCGCTCGCTGGATTGGCAAGGAGGAGCCATCAATTCGGGATCTCTAATATCCTCGGGGGACACCAAAAACGGAAGCATGCACGAACCATCAAAGCCATCGTCCGATTAACTCTCTCATCGTATCGCTCGACCACCTTTGCGTACCGCCGCCGGTTTTTGGTGGTGATGGTACATACATCATGACAATGGTCCGTCATTTTAAGCGCGATATGCTGAGCAAAAGAAACAACCGTCCGCTTCCTTATATTTTTAGCAGTTGGCTCTCTTGTGGAATCCGGGATATTTACCAATGTTCGTGTTTTCGCTGTTCGTTCGTGGATCATTGAGGAGCAGACTTCTTTGTTCTGGTCCCCTCACCATCGTAGGGCGGGCGCAGAGGGTGGGTTGAAGGGGATAGAATGAGAAAATAATAGTGTATACCTGTGACGATGCTGGCCGAGTCTTCGCCGGACGGCTGATTGCTGCCTTCGGACAAGCTCGAGCTGGCCGAGCTGAAAGGTGCTAAACTCCTGCTGCTCGGTGACGGCGATGGCGGCATCTCCATCTGCGATCTATGCATATCGAGGCGATGCTGCAGCTCGAGTCGGTGCTCTTGCAGTCTCGTCAGACCCTCCATTCTCAAGTTCGAATAATTCTCCGCGGCGCTCGGCAATCTTGAAATGGTGCGTACAACTTTTAGGGTACACCGGCGATCAATCGCGCTTCGCGCCGATCAAGACCAAGATTCGCGTGGCGAGACTGCGTTTCTTTTTTTTTCCAGTCAGCCACACGTGGATCGGTCCTGATCAGGGTGAAGCATCGGTGACCGCGCGAGCGTACCGAACGAACGTTGTTGCTTGCGAGTGTCGACCGAACTCGAAGCGAGAATTATCTTTGTCGAATTCTGATGAATCTCCCCGGGAGAGGAGAAGAGTCTTCTCTTCCCTCCCACATGTCCGCTCTCGCTTTAAACACGCGATTTAATCGCGTTTTGTCCAGCGATCGGCGGCGCTCGCGCACGATTTTCTTGTCTATGCTTACCTCACGTTAGGATCTCTCAAGGAATTTGGACTCTGGTACTCCGACGTCAGTCGGTGGCCGTTCTGTTCGGACGGTATTCTCGGTAAATCGTTTCTGCTCGATTCTACGGACGGTACTCTGCCGAGGCTTCCGTGATGGCTCGACTCGGTCGTCTGACCGACGATCGTAATCCCACCACCGGTGGAGGGATATTGTTCCGTGGACGGTACTCTGGTCAGGCCCACCGCGGCGGTTGGGTACTGCTCCGTGGACGGTACTCTGATCAGGGTATTAGTGGTCGGGTATTGCTCGGAGGACGGTACTCTGATCAGGGTGGCATCGTATCGCTCGCCGGATGAGGCTCTGTTAAGCACAGCACCAGGCGGCGCGTATTTCTCCTCAGACGCGACCCGAACAAGTATGCCAGACGACGGAGGTGGTGGATACGGTTGTTCCGTGGACGGTACTCGGTTAAGACTCACGGTCACTGCTGCGGTGGTAGCGTATTGCTCGGCGGAAGGTACTCGCGTGATACTCGAGTACTGTTCCACTGAGATGGTTCTGGTAAGGGTACCAGTGGTACCACCACCGGCGCTAGACGTCACCGCGTGCTGTTCGGTGGACGGTATCCTGGTGAGGGTGCCCAAATTGCTCGCTGAGCAGCTCGTCGTCATCATTGAAGAAGTGCCACTGAAGGCCACCGAGCGTCGTTTCGGGTTGTAGCGTGGCGGTCCTTTAAATGGTACTGGAAAATCGCAAGGGTTGCAAGGTTAAGTAAAGAAAAGATTACTTAGCCTTACAAGAGAAAAGACGCGGGCAATGTCTTTGTTCTGCTGTCTTCTCAGACGAGCGTCGACATGAGTCTTCAGGGGCGAAACATGAAAATCATATCGAGCGATTAATATTGCATTTGGATTACGATCGTTCGGAAAGAACGTGAGCTAGAAATGCTGAACCCTAAACAGTTAAAAACTTTTCTCGATTCCAATCAAATGTATTTCATACGTAATCGTTTCTATACTAATCTAATTTATCGTATCTTATGATATTTTTTTCAAGGTTCATTAAATTTCTTTTTTAAAACCTGATGATCTAATAGCACATCATGTCACCTTAAAGTTCTGAAATCATAAATAACGAAATCATAAATACCGCTTGTACTGTCTAGGGTTATAAGAGGATAAATTACACGTGTATAAAGAGCTGCGCGTTACACGATGAGGACAATGTTTCGTGACCAAAACAGCTATCGAACAAATCACTTAATCGACGCGTGCGTTAAGTATCGCGACAGCATTTATGCGTCGTTATTATCCGCGTTTAATCGACATGCGAGTGTTAGTCGCGTGATTTATATATTACGTTTGTTAAAACGAAGAGTTACGGCAAGAGCTCCGAAGACTCCATTCTCCACTATCGATCTTCCGGTGTTCCGACGCGGAAGATCATCGTGCGGGATTTTTGCAAAGCGATCTTACAAGCGGTCGCCGTGTCGCATACATAAGCACGCACGCATACACGCGCGCACGCACAATGTTATTTCGTGATGGCGACGATGATGGTTATTGGCTTCTCCCCGGGTAACCCCGGACAACCAGATATTGCACTCGTCGTTTTAGTACCGACATGTACAGGGCGTCTCGGAACCAACGAAAGAAACCGTACGACCATGTTACGTCTTATGGAGTTGTCGGCGAAAATACTCATCACAGATACTAATTATTTTCAAAGTATAAACTAAATTGGAAAACCACTCGGGCATTTAACTTTAAAGACGAAAACATTTGAGTGATAAAGTATTAAAACTTGAATAACACGTTAATACTTTCACCAATTCCAGGGTACCCTGTACAGAAAAACTGTACGGAAAAGCTGTAGAAAGCACACGCAAGGATAACGACTCCATCCCCGTTCTGTTGTATCCGTTTTGTGCGATACAATGTGCTCGAGATTACGGGTAAATTTCGTCGAAATACGTCATGTGCACAGACGATCGACGTCGCCATCGTCAAGTCGTCGGAAATGTGCTTCTTCAGGTTCCTCGCAGGCTCCGGAAACTCCGACGACTCGCGGGGACCACGTCGATTCACAACGTATCTCGAACTACCAAACATTACTAGTCAAGACATTCTTGCAAATTCAATGCTGCCAGAAAAAAAATCTATAATTCAATACGTCATCATGGTCCATACAACGCAAAAATACGTTCGATTTACATATATTGTCGAACGTTTTTAAATAAAATTTAGTAAAATATAAATAACTCAGAAACAAATGTAATGATTAAATGTTCTTTAAAATGCAACAGAATATTCTAATCCAAAATTTGACAATTTTACTCAACTAATTTATTAGTTAATTATAAAGTCAGAAAATTATTTATTTAAAGTTTGACACTTGTCGATTATAGGGAAGATACGAGCTTTTCCGATCCGGCAACACTGATTCATTCGACAGTGAACCAAAAATACAGTACCATTAGTTACTGGAAAGCAATCTATCAAGAGGTAGTGTCGTTACTTCTTCGCGATATCACAAATGTACTCGACGTCATACACGACCATCACCACCAAAAATCCCATGACAAATGATTATAAATCTTTACGTTACTCGTCACACAGCACAGACACAGGTAGATAGAGGTACATTGACACACATACGTCACGCTCACAACGCACCACGCGTGTAATATACAAAATTCCAGAAGCACCCTCTAAGTAACTACAATACGATACGAGAGAAACTACTACCTACTGATGCCTACCTCTATATTACAGGAAAAGCAGCGTGCACATGCTCATGCCATGCTCGACTATAATAATGCCACATAAAAACACATATGTTTTGTAGACCACGATCTCGTTTCTTATCAGATAACATTTGTGAACCTTATCGTCGCACGATCGCGGCGCCATATTGGCTTTATTTCAACAAACTAATTGCAGATATTGTTAGATATCGTAGACATCGGTCTCAAAATACACGATATCGGCAATAATCGCAACGACATCACGATAATTAACTACTATTCTCAAGGTTCTGAATCGTTTCAATTATCGAACCGATCGCAGAGATTGTATCGGATTATATTAGAAAAGTTCCCCAGACCCGTCGTGTTCTACATCGCTAACTCTTGATGTTCGGCGCAGAGTTTTAACTTATCTAATAAACGGTACACGTTCGTGAAGAGGGGATTAGAATCAAATAGCCACGCTGATACTTTTCGCGGGTGTGGCGATTGAATATGGAAAAATGTTGTCGAGAGTAACGAGATTATGGTTATCCGTCTTCTAAGCCCGTTCGTCCCATTTGTGATCCCGGAAGGACGATCACCGCTCGGCGTTATCATCGTTGCGCGAGCAACGAGCTGACGGAACAATGTTCAAGAGAAAAAGAGAAATAGAAAGAGAAGCAAGAACGCGAATGGACGGGGGGGGGGGGGGAAAGCAAGTTTTCTGCGTCCGGATATTCGCGCCCCCGCATTCCTCGCTTCTCCTACTCATCGCGGAAGAACTCGATTTTTTACATTTCGTGCGACGTTCATAACTCACCAACTTCCTCCGATTGATAGTTCTTGATGACTTCGGCGAGCTCCATGTTGCCCGCGATCACGGCGACTTGGTACGGTGTTTGGTTCGCGTAGTTGAGCGCGTCCTTCTGCGCGCCCCTGAAGAGTAGCTGACGTATGCACGAGGCGTCCGTGTTATTCACCGCGCACACGTGCAACGGCGTGTTACCGGACGCGTTGCGCGCGTTCATGTCAGCGCCGTAGAAAAGCAGGTGGTCCAGATGCTGCACCAGATTGTTGCGACATGCCTGCAGGCATACGGCAGAGTAGGCGCGTATTAGGCGCGGAAATTGTTCAATGGAGTTCAAGCCGCATTCTTCGCTAACTCGTAACCAGCACGTTTTCATTCGAATATTTTTTCTTATGCGAGAAATTATGAATGAACTCGTAATGGCAACGTCTCGCTTTACGCGAGAAATTTGTCTTACAAAAAACGATTAATCTCCTTAAAAGATTAGATTTCTAATCTAGTTGTTATAAAAAAAATTATCACAAAGTATGCGATGCGTTGAAATCTTATTAATGTAATAAAGAGATAACGAAATATTATCAAATCTTATCAAAAATTCATTGAATTATATATAAGAATGTTCGTAAGAAATATTGGCCCTTCCTATACTCTTTTATCTTCAGTATCGATGTAAAACTCCATTTGTTACTCCAATAAAAATCTACAGAAAGAAGCACAACCTGATGAACTTCCTGCCAGCCCTGGAGATCCTGAGCTCCTATCGTCGCATGATCGTGAAGCAACGTCTCGCAGAGCATCGGATCGGTCTTGTAAATGACACTGTAATAGAGCGGCGTCAAGCCCTTGGTATCCTTGTAATTTGGACTAGCACCCAGTTCCAGAAGCGTCTTTACCGCCTCCAAACTGTTCCGTTCGACAGCACGGTGCATCGCTGTCAAGCCCTCTTTCGTTCGGTAGTCCAGGAGAGCACCGCCATTGACCAATGCAATTATAACCTTGGACGGTTTTTTCAAGGTCGTTGCTAAAGTCAGAGGCGTCTCTGGAATCGAGAAAATTTTTAGTGATTGTTTTAATGAGCTCTCGCGATATTTTTCGTATAAAATACATAAAATATTAATCTTAATTAATTCTGTAATTTTGTATATACTATATATTATTTGTATGATAAAATATAAATATTACACAACTTTCAGTTTCATAAAATAATAATCCAATAAAATGATTACATAATAATTATCTCAAGATGAATATTTTGCATGTCTCGTTGAGATGGAATTGGTAGAAATCACGCTCTATCACTCGTAAGTCATGTTGTAATTTTCTCGCAATTGTGCATGTGAATTACCTCCTGTTTCCTGACAATGGAAATTAGGATCCAGCCCCTTGCTGCACATTTTCGCGATCTTCTCGACCTGACTGCTTTGCACATAATCCAATAACCTTCGTAAATTTGTCCTAGTGTGCATAGCCTTGAGCTGTTTCTCATCCAAATGCAGCATCTTGTAGACTCGCCTCTTATATTTAAGCTGAAATTGATTTGGCAGTGATATAACTTACACTTTCTAAACACGCGATCCGTTGCTGTTAGAATGGCTATTAACAATGTGTCACTTTCCGTCTCATCGATGTAAAAGCGTGAAATTTATTGCACGCTGCTTGACGCGAATTAATTATTTCTATATTACACGCGATAATGCAGCGGATCAAATAGAACCGTAATACCTGTCGATAGTAAGATACCCGGATATTTCGCTATCCGACTATTCGTCGCGTGCAATTTGTCACGGTATAGACCAGCAGTAGCTCCTAGTAGTACTTATGTAAATACATCGCGAGGGAGAACACTGCGCATGGCATGTTATTGCGTAAATGTATCTCATCGCCAGATCGTCTCACTTGGACGGTTATAATTACTGTTTCTTACAATCTACTATGAATACGTGTGTTCATCACGCGTATTTCTCTGTTATCGATGAATACGCAATAAACCGGATGTGATATAAGGTGTAAAGTACAGCTATGCCCTTAGGAGAATGGAACTCGCGATTTACTCTTTCTTCCTACATTATATATTTTTTTAAAATGCCGATAACATTTTTATTGAATTCTCTGAAAATTAATAGGAAAATACGGTTCCCTTACCTTTTTCTTACAATTTCATTTATTTAATTTTCTAAAATTTCCTACAATTTTTTAAGTATTTAAATAATATTAATATATCGCAAAATGGAATATTTTGGCTCAAAATCGGGGTAATTTTGACATAAATTTAATAATATCCAGACATAACGCATAAAATCACGACTTTTACTGTCTGGGTATTAGCAAAAGTTGGACTAAAATATCCTACATTATAGTACCTACGTTTGATTCAATTTATAAGAATAACTTTTATTTTTTATTTAATCACAAATAATACAATTGGGACAACATTGTGAAAACGGTGTCGCGAAGAATCACGTCTCATCATCTATTGCGCCACTTCTTTTCGACGCGACCGCATGGCCGCATTGTGAGCGACCAATAACAGCAAGATAAAGACCACTGTGCCAATGCGTACAGTAACGCCGGATGCGTAAGTGCATCGCGCTGCCATCAACATCGCGCGGATTGCATCGCGCACACATCAGCCGGTTTTATCGCGTTATGAATGCGGACGGACGCGCTGTGAACAGCAGCTCGACCTAACGGTACCGCTTATCCCAACTTTGATACTGACATAGAGCGAATATCGAGCGAAATTTGAGGGTGAAAAATGAGAATTGAGCGATGCGCGTTCCTATCTTGCCTATCTACGAAATTTCACCAGAAAGGTTCGTTCACTCCATCAAGAAGCGACAGGAAGCGAATATGTCAGGAGGATAAAAAAAGCAACCACAAATCGAGAAAAAACACATAATTCATGCTGATCTTGAATAGATTCCTCAATGTTGCGTATCACGAGCTTGCCCGAGGTAACTCTCTCTCTCTATTGATAATTAATTATTCCCTGGCGCTTATAGCATAACGGCCACCGCCGACACGTAGTCAATTTTTAATTTTTCATCGGATTCATGATTTGCCAAAGTGGCTTCTTGCCCTCTCCCGTTCCAATTGTTCAATAATACGTAATTCGTGCAAAATGATGGATCGTCAGGTTATCAAAGGAAGTGGCATAAATCGAAGCGGTCCTGAAATTAACTTCCTCCGACTTTCGTGACGAAGACGAGACTGCAATTGGCAGTAGGGATCGATTATTATAATAAGAAAACATTGTTGGCACGAGGCTATATATATTACGGCGGAATACCCATGAAGTTTGAATGTGAAGTTCAGTTAGTATTTAACTAGTATAGTAGTCCCGGCCGTAACCGTTAATCTTATTCGATAAAGATCTTCCCGAAATAATTATATATCGCTTCTCCATCATTGCATTGAGAAATGCAAAAACAAAATAAAATTATTTCGTCTTTTCTTCTTCTCTTTTTCTAATTGTAACTCATTTAATTTACTTAATTAATTTTCAATGTTAAACGTCGTCAGAGAGATTAAATGATCCCTTAATTGAATAAGATAATAAATTTATTGCATACTAAGAAAAAATTATTGTATTAAATCTTACGACGGTTTGTCAAGATAATGACCAGCAACGCTATTGTTAATTAAATAATAGCAAGCAAATCTTGATGAAACGTGATACCTTAAAGAACCCGCAACACCTATGTTTACGGAGAGAACGCAGTCTCGCTGTAAGGGTATTATTGTTAAGACAGATCTTTGCGACATATCCACAGACTTATGGTTTTCGAAACCACAGGGCCCATTGTCCAGTGAGGATCCTGCTGACAGGCGTTAGTTAAATGTGAGTTTTTCGCCGACGGGCCCCATGTAATTTGTAACTCGTGCGAGGTGAATGCGGCTTAAAGATGGTTCAAAGAAGCTGTATGAGTCAGCCGTCCCTGAAAGTGAATCTCCCGCGACGAAGCGGGGACGTGCAGCTGGCACGGTGGAACCGATCGGGATCGACTGAAGAAGAAGAAAAAGAAGAAGAAGGAAAAGAAGAAGATAACTACAACGACGACGCAGGGAACTCGACGAGGTGGACGGTGATGAGAACTAGCACCGATTACGCAAGAAAACCGCGGGATAGGATCCAGATCTCGTTAACCCGGGACCGGATTATTTGTTTTTCGCAAATCCCCGTTTCAAGTCATCACCGGTCGAGCTGTGCAAGAGCGCGCGCGCGCGGATTCGTCGCACCGCGACCACCGAGTGATTTATGTATAGCGAGGATCATCGCGATGATTAATTACATTATACGTACTTCCGCAACCTCTCTTTTTCGTTACATATTATGAAAACGATTATCGTTTTGCGGGTCTTTAATTTGAAATTGAAAATGTCATCAAAAATTTTACGTATCATCTTTTTAAAATTGATTTCAACTTACAAAAAAAATTCGAGCCAATGAAAGCTTGTGAAAAAGTGCAAATGTCATTTACAAATGTATTGCCATATCCTATTTTTCCTATATGATTCAAATCAGTCTCATTTAAGAAGGTAATTCCAGATCTCAATTTTCTTTTTTATAATTAAATTCTTTTTTTATGCAAAATCTTCAATTCCGACATATTTTTTGGTCGCACATCTGTTAAATATTCCTGCCTGTCTTCTCTCGTTATTTAGCTTAGAAATTAGATCCTATCAGGCGTGAAGTGGGTCTGCTGACAGCTTTAATGCGCACGCGAGGAAGTTACTTAACCCTTCCGTTACTAAAACGGGAAGCCTTTGCCGTACACTCACTACCACACGTTACTAAAACCGACTGTAATCGTCCGACTGAAATAAACATATTGGCATTGTCTTCCCTCCCAATTACAATAACAAATGGAATTGGCACGATCGATTCTCGGACTACGCGAACAATCGCAGATTAGAAAGAATGACTTGACAAGAAATAAAAGGAAGAGAGCACGATTTCTTACCTCCAGATACCCGACGGGTCCATTGAAAGGATAATCGCCGAGACGGCGTTCCTCGTCCAGGAATTTTCCGGCTTTTCCATTCACCGGCGGGCAGAAGAGGCCGTAATTGAAGCTCTCCTTCAGCTCCTGTAAGGCGATGAAATTTTGATATTAAGGTACAAGTAAATCGCGCCAGAGAGGATCAAAGCGACCCGCCACCCCCACTTTTCCTGACTGACACATGCATATAGCAATAATAACAAACAGGCATCTTTCAGAGGTAATATTCAGGCATACGATTCACAATTACTTTGCAAGACATTCTCTTTTCAATAATAATCATGCTTATTTGATAATTGGATGACTCAATGCATTGCTTAATATTTATATTGCATATGGTGCACTCAGTGTGTACATATCGCCAAACATCAATACGAATTAATGTTATTAATACCCACATGATTCGATGTAACTTACTCCAGCGATGTTAAATGATAAATAAAAACATTAATTTATTTGGTTTAAAATTGATTCAGATTTTATGAAAATTATTATTTTCATATAGAATTGTATTTGATTTTGTAATTTATTTTATATATATATATATATATATTTCTCTTTTTTAAAAATTACATTTAAAATATTTATAATTATAAAATATAATTATATTTTTTTAACAGATATTTATCTCTCTAACAAGATATACATTGTTCATTGCGTGTGATTACAGTTCTTACGAATTCACTACAAAATTCTGTTAGGCCAATATCTTTAGTATTCATAGGCACAGCGAATAATGCGACAAACTACTTTTTCTCTATGAATACCAAACAAGGACCGGAGAAAATCAATTCTCGATTACATTAATAGTATTTACGACGTTCGACAACGGCGGCGGAACGCTCTTTCTTTCGCGATATTATAATATTTAGCGTTTAGCGAGTAACGACTCGAGATAGGCGAAAAGCAACGCCGAAGAACGCGCGTGCCATGCACATCCGAGAACCGCGTATTATCACCATATATTCCACTTATGCCACGCGAAAGATCGGCGACGATGCGAAGGAAGACAAGTCAGGCCAACCCGACAATCATGGCAACAATAGCCAAGAGTGCAACACGTGCCAAATTAAAGGTTTCGTACATAAAAAGAACGGGAGTCTCCGTACCTTGCCGTACCGATGGTGGAGGTGTGGTCGACCATGGGAAAGTCACGAAATGCGAAAAAAAAAGGCAGCTGACGAGCGAGAAAACGGATGTGAATATTTAGTAGCAGATGCTTCAACGTTTTTTTCTTGTATGTCATAGAGAGCATCGATTTAAAGCCACTCGCAATCGATAAATTATATCTATTTTAATAATCATATCACAGCAAAGAATCTTAAACAATTTGTTTAATAACTTATATCTATATATGCGCGACATAGCGCATTCTAGACAGGATTATAGAACAGCAATTGTATTCTGTCATTTTTAGAGGTTTCCTCTGGCTGTATTTAACGTGCTTTCCTCAAGGTTCATATTTACAAGTAATATAACGTCCTCGTTTCGCTCTCCATTCGCGAAGCCGGCTCAATGATGCGTCCGTGACACGCTCGTCAGTGGTTTCCTTCGTCGCGCAAAGCTTCGTCGTGGGACGTCAAAATTGAGATTTGCAACGCGTATGAATAAAAAGACAAAGATGAAGAGGCGGGCTTGTATCAGATTTACAGTAAAATTCTACTTGGCAAAAAATTTCCAAATATATACACATATTCTTTTTTAATAAAAATAATTAAGCTATTTTTTCCTATCACATCCATTTATTCCATCTGTCGAAGAATATTTTTTTTATCTTCTTTTAGATAATTATGAAATGTAATGTATATTTACGAAAAAGCATAATACCAATTAAATAAATTAAATTAAGGAAAACGTTTCTTGTGAAAATCACGATTCGCACACTGAGAAAAATTTCTGGTTGAAAATGGACGAATCAGAAGGTTCAAGTCAATTAAAATTCTGGTTATTTTAAATAGAATTATAATAGATTCGAGAAAATTCTGATTTGTTATTTTCAATCAGAATTCCAATTAATATAATCAGACGCTTTCCAGTGCACCCTTCCTTAATTTATTGATCGATGCGTAAGATCATCAAATTTGCCTAATTGGCGTAAATTGAGTAAGACGAGACGCATAATTTGATGGAGCGAAAGAGAATTACACAGGAACGGAAGCATTGTTCATTCGATGAATGGTACGCGAGTGGTTCGCCTCTGTCACTCACGACATCCTGGACAAAAATGAAGCAGTCCTGCCAAACCGGCGCTCCTACTCTAATTAGTGCCGCGGTAATTGCTTCATAAAGTCCAAAGAGGCGGCATAATCGCACCATAGTGAAACGTGCCTCGCGAGTTTCTTCGATTAACAGGGGAACGGGTGAGAGGCAAGGTCATAGGAATCGAGAGCGGAAAAAGTCAGTGATCGACGATTAAAGTAGAATCGAGAAGAATTGATTACCATTATCATCCTGCCTCGTTCATAACGTTTTTCGACGATACTCGCCATAAAGAAGAGAGCCATAAAGAACCGACCCCTTCGAAAGGCAAAGTCCCGAAGACCTCATCGTTCCTTCTCTCGTTTAAGCAATCCCCTTGTACACGTTCTCTAAAGAAATTTCCCGATTTTATCGTAAACTCTTCTGCACGATATATTAATCTTTTAAGGAAGATACACTTTCATAAAGATACACATCTCATTCTCAAGTATGGACAATTGCTTGTGTATAGCATGGATCGTTCTTTAAGACAACTTATGTAGTTCGTATTGAAATTTCATCGATACTCTCCGAGAATTCGCGAGAGAAAAATATTTTTGGTATAGCTCGGGCGCACACTAAAAGAATTTACTAAATTTTAATAAATATTTGTTTAAATAGTGTTAACTTTATTGAGTAAATATTCCCTCAATAAAAAAATAAAAATACTTAAATTAAATTAACGGTTCTCATACTAAATAAATATACATTTAGTAAATATTTAGTTAGCGCTATTCAAAGAATTATTAATTAAAATTTAGTAAATTTGTCTTCAGCGCCTTTTCCGCTTTTCCTTTCGAACGCGCGCGCGTGCCGCGACCTAGATGAGGTATGCACGCGACCTAGTATAGAAGAGGGTCGCCGCGTTAAACGGCGGGACTCTTTTGTACGGCCCTGTATGGGAGAATAATGGCCGAACCGTGTCTCAATCGTGCTTTATGGGATGTAATTGCGGTCTGGCGAGGGGGGGCCAGCCTCGCCGATGTTTAAGCTCGGCTTGGCCTGGCCTGGCCAGCGCCCGCGTTCGCTCGCTCGCTCGCACACGAGCAGTGCGGCGACGAGCAAGGCGGATAGGAGCGTTACGGTTTTAACCTTCGCAACGAAGCACGAAACGAGTTTTCGTCTTCTTGGGGCGCGCCTTCGCCTTCGTGCCAGCGATCTCGCTCTTGCGACCGATCGTCATCGTCCTCATCGTCGACTCCGCGAATTGTTCTTCTCCTCCGCGACTGACAACCACACCGGCGAATCCGAGGCTGGACACACTCCAAATTTTTTTCACTCCAGCATGAGCGAGTTTTGTGAGAACTCCAATCATGGGAATCTCTCGTGGAGAAGTGGAGTTAAACCGGATTCTATCGAGGCCCACGTATGTTCTACTAAAAAGTATCGTAAAAGAGTTAATATATTCCAAATTGTAAAAGACATTTCGCTTATAGAATCTGGTCTCATAAGTGGGCTTTGATTCATTCGATAATAAATACCTGTCGAATTTGAGCTATTCGATCTTATTCCACTTTCCCTGAGAGACGATCATCCGTACATCTCTGTTGATCCGCGCGACACGACAACGACGACTTATGATCGCCCGCACAAAAAGGCGATAAGTGGCGAAAGAGGGAAATGAAGGCGAAAGGTAAAGGACAGAGGGAGTAGACAGGAAAGGGTGGAGGACGGACACACAAAGGCGAGTGGAATCATCCAAAGTGCCGGACACAGCATCGGCGTTAAAGAGGAAATACGACCCATAAAATTTCGATCTGCGCGTCGGAGAGACTACGCGACGGAGAAAAAGAGAGGGTTAAAAAGGGGCGGCCATGGCGGAATACGAAATCAAATTGCCGGGACGCATCGAAAAAAGCAGTCATCGAGACTTTAATAGCGGTTCTTTCAACATCCGCTGGCTTACACGACCACGCATCGCGAAAGGGTTTCGAGTAAACGTTCGACTGTGAACTCTGCGATCATGCGTAGCTGGGAGTGTGAACAAATTCTTGTCAATCAAAATTGTCAATCGTTACACGTCATAATATGACATGCTATGATATCACGAGATTTCTTTCTTTATATTGGATGTTAATAATATAAATTTTCTACCACATTATAATATTAATTGACACAGTTACCGTAATCTTAGTTTTTAATCGAAAGAAAAACTCTTATATAATCATTGACTATCAAGATGGAAGATACCGGTTGATCTGACAATGCGCGATAAGGCCGCTGTTTAATTTGAAACGATCCTACGGCTCGACAATGCGAAGGCATTCTGCGAAGCGCAAATATTTATCTGGAAGTTTATTCAAGCATCTTCTCCCGCGTCCATCAAGCTGACTCACACCATTATCGCAAAAGCGATCGACGCACTACCATGCTGCATTGAGAGATCTTGCGATATCGAGCCCATAAGCCACATGGATTCAACTTTTGAACAAAGGTTAATGACTAATCTCGATAAGATAAACAATTTACCTCGTGGAAAATATAACGAGCGATTTCTTAACAATTATCGACGTTAACATTACCCGATGCCTAATTGAATATCTTGATAGTGCGTCGATCGTTTTATCGTTTTATACTTCAAAAACACATTAATACATATTCCCTAATATAAGCCATTGTATAAAACATTTCGTAACGGTACCTTGGTTTAAAATTAAACAGCAAGTGCGTTATAATTTTGTATACATTATAATTTATAAACAGATTTTTAAGATAAGATTTGTTTGTTGAATTAAAAAAATTAAATTACATTCATAATATCGACAGTTATTAATGTAATTTGTCTTAATTCAGTATATAGCAGCTGCAAGTGCTAAAGTCAAAAAGATATTAGAATTTCTAAAGAAACT